AACGGTGGAACCTAAGAGTCATCGCACCGGTGCCGAAGGAATGTCATGACGACGTGATTTCACAATTCGCATTTGAGTTGAGGATTAAAGCTAAGGAGGAAGAAGTAGGAAAATCGTTTCATGACCCCTTTAAGTACTCAGAGCTGCGGTGAGTTAATACACACGGCCACCCGAACCCCCTTTTATTTCTTAAATCATGTCCAACAAGCGAACGAGAGTGTTGTTGGCGATAAAGGTACAAAGGAAGTATAAAAAAAAAAAACAGGAAAAGGGACGACACGTGTGCTAGCACACGTGTCGTTTCTTGTCCCGTTTGTTTAATCCTCTTTTATACCCTCAAACAACGGCATCTTAAATTTCCCTCGTCGCTTCGCCACTCTATTCACCCCCTAAGCTGACAATAGGGTGGGAGCTACGAGCTCGCCGGACCAATCAAACGCCTCGCATTCATCACCTGACCCCCGCTTACAGCGCGTGGGTACGGGCGGGAGCTTGGTCACGCGTTCGTACGACTGATCGAACGAGCTCATGTAGCCACCACCGCACTGTCAGCTGTGCGAATATAGTTTCCGGTGGTTCCTAGCGGTCCGACGCTGGCTCTGCATGCACTCTCATCGTGACAGCCCAGCGAGAATGAGCTGTCACAACAACAACAGGGACCCGCGTTGCATCGTTTGAAACAAAGAATCGAACGAGGGACTCTTTTGAGGCAATCCTATTCAAAGCATTGCTGAGGAAAGTGCGCTTGTCACGTGGGAATTGCGGGGTTTCCACTTGCAACCTCCCCACCGCTCTTCTGTTCGCTCTCTTCTAGTCGCTGCCAGCTTGAGAAACGCGAAGCGTGACGAATCTCGAGTGTCGCGTTATGGCTCCTTGGCCAACCAGGTAGCGGTTGGCCAAGGAGTTCACATCAAGAACCGCAGTAAAAAAGTCCGGCTTTTCGCAGAGCGTTACTAATTTTCACATTTATGTGGAGAATTAAGTTATAAGAATTTGCATCTTAGATTAGAAATATGTTATCGCAACAAGTCGGACACTTTTCAAACACCAAAAGCATAGCTTCTTTCTCCGAAACCGAACCTTGTAAGAATTACTTTGCGCGGCGTATGGACAATTCGCAAAACTTTCTTTCTTTCTTGAGGTGAAAACGAGTATAAATTATATTTTTATTTTTTATTTTCTCGTTCAGAACTAGCCTAGGTGGTAAATTTGGAGTTCCGCACTAGTCAGCAAAAAATAAATATAACCGGTTCTATATATTAAACTTCGTGCCAGTTGAATCGCGTACGGTACCATTAAAACCCAAATGTATTCGGTCGATCCTATTTCGAATGGTTCTTTTTCACGCTGTACGCACTTGCTCGTCTGCCAAAGTGGCGCCTTTTAAGATCTCTAAGGCGCCAGGAGCCTTAAATTAGAAGGTGCTAGAGCACGTCCAGCGATGAACAAAAAATAAAGCGAGGCGGAAGTTTTCTCAGGGAGTCCCGGATCCTTTCCGTGTCCTTTACGACTTGCCTTCCACTCTCGCCCCTGTCGTTTACTCCTCACTTGCTCCGTTCTATTTGCCATTTGTCCACATCATGACGGCACCGAGAGTTCGCCGATTGGTCCGTTGGGGCTTCTGTTTTTCATTGATGACGTCCTTCTCCCCCTCCTCCTTTCTCTCCGGTGACGTACTTCCGGTGCACCTTCCTGTGTGTGTGTGTGCGTGTGTGTGTGTGTGTTTTTCTGCGCGCGCGTGTGTGTGTTTTTCTGTGCGTGTGTGTATGTGTGCGTACGTGCGCGTTTGGGTGTCTCTGTGTGTGCATATGCGTGTATATATGTATGTATGTATGTATTACGTGCGTGTATATGTGCGCACATATGTGCGCGTGCGTTTGTGTGCGCGCGTGCGTGTGTATGTGCGCACATATGTGCGCGTGCGTTTGTGTGCGCACGTGCGTGTGTATGTATGTGTGTGCGTGCGCGTGCGCATGCATGTTTGTGTGTGTGTTTGTGCGGGACGCGCCACGAGCAAACATAGTCCGACGCGTCGGTGGCATCCAACAGAATCTTGCGCTTGCCGCGGCACGATTCAAAAGCTGGCGGTGCTCAATCCCGTTTTCTTGCTCGCAGGGAGCTGTACTCGTCGCGCTCCAGCGATCTGGAATCGCTGGTGGAGCGCACCTGGAAGATGCAGGGCCTGGAGTCGGTCCGTCGGGTGTCGTATCGGGTCCTGCTGTCCCGGCCCAATCCCAGGGTGGACAACTCGGTCAGTGAGCAACCAAGAAGACGAAAACAAAGAAACTCGACAAGTCAAATTTGTTGATGGGAGTCCGTCTTAGAGGGGCCCTGCAATCATATTTAAGCGTCTACCTTCTTTGCGGTTTCCACGTCTCTTGGGGTTCAGACAAACCAGCGGGCACGGAGAGAGTAACTAAATATCAGTGCGTCATTTTTTAATCGGACGGCGCGGAAACCTCCTCCACCTACGGGGGCGACCCGCGTTGCTGAAAGTGCACGAAATGTGACGTCTTTGGTCCTGGGATTACTAGTGGTCAGACCCGCTAAAAGCTTCTTTTTAGTCGAAATACAAAATATAAGTGGCGCGAGGCGTTTCAATTAGTTATACAAGTGGTTTTTGTTCAGCATTTTAGATCATAAAAGAAACAAATGCAGTTTATTACGTACGGAAACAAGAAATGATTCGTCGACATACCCGCCAGCAAGCGGTGGAAAAGACGGCGCATACTAGAAAGGCGTAGTGGGAATATCAGGCGCCGACCAGCGGCGAGCGTAGAAAGGTCCCGGATGTACGTGGCGGCGCTGCAGTCGAGGATCCGACCGGTCCCGAGCGTTCCGAAAACCTTCGGAGAGCAGCTTTCACTTGCGGTTTCGCCTTTTGGCGGTATGGCAGCGCGAAGTGGCTCCCGTTCTGAACTGATCTTTACCCCGTGTTTTCTGTCGTTTGTGGCCAATGAAGTGTCATGCCGAATTAGCGTTTAATCGCGCAGCCAATGCAATGCGAGCCGCCCTGGCCGCCCGCTTCATACAGCCTAGCCAGAACATGCTTTAGTGGCGCCCTCTCGAGCCGTCGACACGGAGTGCGGCAGCCGTGGGCGCTCGCTGAGCTCACTACCCCTTTTCTAATTCACGGCCACTCAAGTAACCAAGGACGTCATGAAGGAGGTTGTTTTTTTAGAAAGACATTATTTCGAAAAGTCGGATTTTAAGCTACCGCTCGAGCCCGGACGTGGAGAGCTCGTTTCAAGTCTGTGCCTCGCGTTTTCATTTGTTCGGGTGACGCCAAAACCTAAGCACGGCCTGGCTATCAGGAGGTACGCCAGTGTACGAGTATGCATAGTTTTGACTTTATTCCATCCCTGGCGCTGCGTTAAAAATTTGCTTTACTATTTCCGAGTAACTTCAGCGTTGCTCCAGCGGGTTATATTACGTAACAACACAGATAGGAGAATGTTAGGCTTCGGCAAGCTTCTACATTCCATGATACAAAGAAGAAAAAAAAAAGAAAAAAGCTTTACTTCCAAATAACAATCCGCTTCCGCCCTTTTTTTGGCGGGGGGATTTTTGTTTTTTTGTTAATTTTCGCCCGTGTCCTCCACGGGGGACTCGAGCATGCTCATTACCTGGGTCCGGACAGCAACTCACAAGCTTTGATGGCCGTCGGTCAATCTCTCAAGGCCTCCCGAAAACGGGAAAGGGGATGGCTGTGTTCGAAATCTTATCCAAATAGATCCGCGCTACTCGGGCGCTTCGTGTCACGTAATAGCACAGATGGAGCGACGCTGGACGCGGGTAGGTTTTCGAACGCAAAGATACAAAACCCTTAACCAGGTCGAGTAAATTTTGGAACACGTCCTACGATACAAGGGTCCGGCATAAAAGATGGACAGCATTGGCAGGTGACACGTGACGTCAAGTCTGACAGGCACCGAGGCCACCGAAAAGCGGAGGAAACGACAAGAGAAATCGTGATTTTGGCTCGGTGGTGTTGAAACAGACATCGGACTGCCGGACTACCGGACGCTTCAACTTTTACGATTTTTGCTGGAGTCGCGTCGCCTCACGATTACTGTTTGGACAGGCCTTAAGACCCAGCAAATTTTGTTATAACGACCTAAGTCAACATCGTGGGTTCTAGCTCGATGTATGTGCCGTCTGTGTTCTTCGTGTCGTGTTGGTCTGATTAAGGCATCTCAGTCTATTCTATCCGTGGCGTGCCTCTTCAATAAAGGTGGAATTTTACGACGGCACCGGCAGACTTCAGCTGACGGCCACTACCAGGGACGAAGCGGGTCCCGTGTTCAGCGCGTATTCACCGCCAGGTGACGCCAGGGTGAGTAACAGCTGTTGCAATCGGTGACCCCCCCCCCCCCCCCCCCCCTCCTCTCCGCGAACGACAACAGTTATGCCCTCGTGATGCGATCCTCCACCTCACCTCCTCCTGTGATATGTTTCACTTATTATAAAGTCATCACTACAGTTACTCACTGCCCCAAAAAAACACAGTGTGTGTGTGATGATGTTTATGGTTCGCGATTTGTTCTTTTGGAGTTCGTATGCCAAAACTGCAATCCTATATCGACTGCGGGGCGATAATAAGATCAAGCAGAGCGTTTCTTCAGCTACCAGCAACTATATACAGACACTCTTGACCATCATAGGATTGCTCATCGCATGTTCAGAGCTTCTCTCGTTTCCTTTCACTTCTGCTCGTTTTTTTTTTTTTTTTTTCCACTATTGTGTTATTGCACTCTAGTCAGGTAGCGACATGCCCCCTGGTAAAGACCCCCTTTTTTCTCCTAACAATAACTAAAAAAATAAACAGCAGAAATGTAATGAATGATTTTGATGCAGAAATAAGGTAATTGGTTAGCCATGTAACGACGTTACTTGTTATAGGGTATGGACATCGCTACTGGCAATATAGCACAGCAACACGAGAGAACGCGTCAAGAACTATTCGGAAGACGTATTGGGTTGAAGTTTTGAGGCCCACCATGTTTCATGTTCAGGGTCCTGCGGTCTATGCCAATTACGGACGTGCTCAAGATTTGCGCCTTCTCGAGCTGCAAGGCTTGTCCCTTCGTGGCAAAGTGCTGCTGGTTCGTCTGGGGCAGATCCCTGCAGCCACCAAGGTCAGTCCTTCGTACGGTTCATTATATAGTGTGTTTCACGAGACGCAAACCAACATTGGCCAGTGCCAAGGATGCTTTTTTAGAGAGGTAATACGTTTGGGATCATTTCGGGTTCAATTATTTATTAAGGATCGACGGGACAACAGGAAGACCTCCCTGTCGTTGTTGTCCTGTCCGTGACTATAGAGAAGTAAGACGCGTGCAACGTTTTCACGCCTCCCTAAAATCACCAAACTTTGAACGCACCTTTGTGGTTCCGGCATCGTATCGATCAAATATTGCGGCGAACAACCACTACACAAAACCGAAACCTCGTATAAGCGCATTATACTCTGTGCTTCTTTTCTCCGACAGTCACCGAAAACGCGTCGGTGCGTTCGAGTCGCTGAACATGGCTTATAGATTGCCTTGATTGGCCAGGCAATAATGTAGCTTTTAAAATATAGAGAGGAGATCAAACTATAGTGAGTGATTAAAGAAAAAGTAAGTAAACAGGCCAGCTGGTTAATGTTACACATAAAAAAAAAAAAGAAACGGAGACGACGGAACGTAGGAACGTTTTGAATTGTTGCCTGCACCATTGCTCTATACGAGATGAGGTCTGTAGAAGGTCACAAAGACGTGTGCGAATTCCGGGAGACGTTTTGTGTTTGTACCCTTTTTCGTCCGTCGTCTACGTTTCTTTTTTTTTTTTTTTAATGTGTATTGGGAGTGTTTTGTTCAGCTTCTTTCCTACGCAGCTTGCTGTACCCAGCAAAAGGACTGCGGACTGGATTGTTTACGGCACCTATCTCGATCGAGTCATGACCACATAGAAGACAAAACCTGTGTCTGTCTCCCCCCCCCCCCCCCCCCCCCCCCGCCCCCTCCTTTTTAAACGTCATCACTAGAGCTACTAAATGAGCTGCGCTTAGAGTATCGGCACTCCGTTCCCCGACAGTGTTGTGGGCGCCGCCATTTTGGCTCGTATGCAGAGCAGACGCAATTGCCAATTGTCTCGATTCAAAAGTGCAACTTTCTCAGCATTAGATTCGGTGTTAGAAAGGTCGTGTAACATTGCTTTGCTCTGTCGCGAACTGTTTAAATATTTGTGGAGGGCGGAAGAGCGGTTCCTGTGATTTCAGATAAAGCTTCAGACAACTGGCAAACATGATTTTAAGACACAATATGGCCAAGACTAGTGTCGTTACTCTGAAGCGTAGCTTATTTAGTGGCACTAGTCATCACTATTGTGGAACTAAGCAGCGCCGCCTAGCTTGATTCAGCGTCGCCGCCAGTGCGTCTCGCAACGTCTTACAACGAGTGTGGCGCTAGCATGCGGCGAGCCAAGACGAACGCGTTTGCCACCTTGCAGTATCTCCTGTTCAGCGTGTTTGCCACTTGGGGCGGGTCAGGGATCCACTAGCTAAAGTGAACCACTAGGGGCGCGACTGTTCAATCTCCTACTTCGAGAGCCTAGATTTGAAAGAAAGAGCAGCTCAGTTCATGGAGAGCGGTTGAAAGTCAATGGCGGACGCCTCCTGTGCCGTTTGGTTGCTCGTGCGCAGGCGCCGTTGTCATCTGGAGAGGAGGATAGTGGGCAGAGGCGCTGAGCAAAGCTTGGAGATCTTGGAGAATCACATGACCCCGATGGAGCGGCTGAAAGCACTCTCAAATCTAGGCACACTATACTCCCATTTCGGTGCCTAAAACGCGTGTCTGATTGGTGTTGGTCGCGTCCTTAAAAGAGTTTCCTCGATTTCCGCCTGATGACGTCACAGAATGGTGTCGTGTTGTTGCTTGCCGCGATCCTGGTGCTGGCATTGAAGCGGAGGTGGATGCGCGGCAGACGCTTGTTCTGCTGCAGGCCGCTCTCCATCTTGGCAGTCAGTCGACACTGAGAGGTTTCGGCAGCTAGGAGATAGGGATGCTGCGACGACAGTGACAAAAGCGTTCACTAGTGCATTTTTTCGGATGTATCACGACCAACCACCAGGATCGTGACATAACCGACAGCATGGCACGGCCGGCCCCTGTGGCGTCACTTCTTGCCACTTAGAGACAACTTTTGGTGCATCAGCGGTATAGGGCTCTAAGCATACTAGTCGAAGACGCGCTCCAGGCACCATACTCCTACCCGTGGTGAAAGGAAAAAGAGGTGTCGCGGAACGAGGCCAGAAAGGGGGCCGAAATTACACTCGGGCTTCACTTATTTCCCGGCAGGGGCACTGCCAGGCTGGGGCTCCACGCGGTTCGCGGCCTTGAAAACGTGTGCGCGAATAAGGATGATTCTCGAGCTCTGCGAGCTCCTGTCAGGCTGCGCCATCTCACGGCGTTTGGCAGAAATGGGAGCGGACGTTCGACACGCTTGCTCCGTGGCGGGGCGGTGCAGTTCAGACACCTCTAACTTCTTCCACCGTGCACCTATTTAATCAGCCTGAAATGTGCTCACTGGATGGCAGGCTCGGCTAGCCGAAACGCGTGGCGCGGCCGCCCTGGTGCTCTTTCCGGACCCTGCGCGGGTGGCGCCCCCGCGCGGGGACCAGGAGCCCTGGCCCTCTTCCCGCTGGCTGCCGGACAGCGCCGCCCGGAGAGACACGCTGCTCGAGGAGCCCGGAGACCCCCTGAGCCCCGGCGTGCCGTCTTCGAGCCCCGTGGCCAAGCTACCGCTAAGGAACGCCAGTCTGCCCGCCATCTTGTGCCAGCCCGTCGGGTACCGGGACGCCCTCATCATGCTCGGGTAGGGACTCTGGCGTGGGGCGTCAGTCTAACTTAGCATAACCTGACCTGACTTAACCTAATATAACCTCCCCTAACCTGACCTGAACTAACAAAAACAAACCTAACCTAACCAAAAAACCTAACGTAGCCCAACCTAACCAAGCTTAGCGTGCGCAAATTAACCTAAGATTAGATAACATGACATAACATAACAGCTTGCAAGCTAAACTAACCTAACCTGATCAAACCTATTTTTACGTAACATAAGGTATCGTTACACAATAAGCATAATATATATTGCAACATAGCCTAACCTAACCTGACCCAGCCTAACCAAACCCAGCGTAACCCGACCTAACTTAAGATTACATCGCATAGCCTAACAAAACATAGTGCAACCTAAACGTAACCAAACGTAGCATAGCTCAAACTCAGGATATGGTGGAGCATTGTCACTTGATTTTATAAGTCATAATCGTTGATATACATGAAAGACCCTAACAACACTCCGACGGAATTTCTCTTCGACTTCGACGAGCTATGTTGTTTTGTTTTGTTTTATTCTTTCTCGCAGCCAACTGGAAGGCAACCGCTGTCCCGACGCCTGGGTGCCCAGTTCAGGGCGCTGCAGACTGGGTGATGGTTCCGCAAGAAACAGGTGAGCATCGAACTTTGAGCTCATCTCATCCAGTAATCCCCCGCCCCCAAATTCCCCCACGTGCGTTGGTTCCTTCCCCCTTTCCCCCGACCTACGCCATAGCCTCCTAAATACTTACAAAGCCTGGCATATCACTACGAGAAGCGGCCGCCGAAATGGAAAAGGTGGAGCGGCAGCCAGCGGATGAGAGGGAAGCCACGTGACTGGCACCCCGCTGCGGTGAAACGGCGAAACACACTTCTCCCGAGCAAACAACTGTGTTTCGGTTCCTCGCCGCCGCAAAAGCTGTGCGCTGATGTCCAGGTTTCCCAAGAAATGTCTCTTTGATGCTCTGTGCTGCCAGATCCTCGCGGTCTAAATCTGCGACCGGGCACTCTATGGCTCCGTCATCGAACTGCCAGGCTTCGTGAGTATAGAGGAGGCTGTGCCTCAACCAATAATAAAGCGAGCTTGGCTGCCTCGTCATCGTGTGTAATATACGTGTTCCCTATGTTGCCCTTTGATTGGCGCGCGCATCTTCGTGTTCCAATGCGCCAAAGCCGCATTTTAGAACACCTTGCTGGTCGTATATATTTAAAACCCCGATCTATCGTATTGCGCAGCATTCGAGTCGTGGTCCAGAACGAACTGATGAGCGGCAACGTCACAAACGTTCTTGCCACCATCCGTGGAAACATCGAACCAGGTAAGAAGGTGTGCTCTCCGGCCAGTGCCACAACCCCTGCTCAAGAAGCAGACGAACTATTGGCAGGCATTCCCTAGCCATAAAGTAAATATAATAATTTAGTACATTGCGGCCGTTTCGGAACGGCGGGGCACAGACGCGGACATTGCTGGTCGCATCGGTGCAAAGAAGCAGGAAAACATCACTTGCATGGTCTGCATACTTATTGTTTTCCTAGCATCATTTTGTACTAGAAAAAAAAAAAAAAAGAAAGAAAAAAGAAAAAAAAAAAAGAAACCACCGGTTGCACCGCATTGTATAAAATAAAGTTTTCAAGCGCTCGAACAACTTCAAGTCGTCGCAGCAAAAGGAACACGCCCAGCCTATCGTCTGCTTTCTTTTTTCGCTCTTCCCTCACTCTCTTGCCCGTTCTTTCTCTGGGAACCACCGATGTCGGCACTTACGATTTCCCGAGTTCTGCTCCCGCCTTCGCACCTCCCGCCCCTCGCAGACCGCTACGTGGTGCTTGGCAGCCCTCGCGACGGCTGGGGCCCCGGCGCCCACGCCCCGGGCTCGGGCACGGTGCAACTGCTCGAGGCGAGCCGGGTGCTCTCGGAGCTGCACCGGAGCGGCACCTGGAGTCCGCGTCGCTCCATCGTGTTTGCCAGCTGGGGAGGACACCGCTACGGGTCCATCGGCGCCACCGAGTGGGTCGAGGTAACAACACCCGCTTCTCGTGCTGCACTCGCAGAATCGCCGGTACCCTAACACTTTATTACCAACATAAAACAAGATAACAATGTATGACAAATTGCTAGGCAATTCTGTTTCAATCCTTACATCGGGTGGTGACGTGTTGGCAGTGTATGACTGACTATAGCACCGAGATATTTCTTGCGCTTTCGCGATCTCATCTTGAGTAGACGGTCGTGTGCGTTTGTTTCTTGGGTTCTTAAAAAATAAAACCACTCAGTCGCTATCCAAGGTTCGTTTCATTATGTTTCTCACTTCGTCCGTGTCCAGTCGCGCTGTTTTAATATGAATACGTACCAGCTCGCCCAGTTACCCATTCTGACAACATTACTTGCGACTCCAATGGTGCCCACTGAGAGGAGCACTAAAGTGTATTTTGAGGGCGTCTTTTTATGGCGCAAGCTCGAACTACACCCCTTGAGCATCCCATACGACCAAAAATTGTAATCATATGTGGTCTTCTTTTTTTTTATCAAAAATTAATGTCCCGATACGTCTTCCTTTTCTCGAATCTATCTAAAAAATAAAGGGGGGGGGGGGGGGGGGGGGAGTTGCGATGTTACTGTGGCTGCATAATTTTCTCGTAACATCTATCCCAACCATAGCGGAATTTGCGGCGTGCGGCTTCACAAAGAGGACAGGAATGCTTGCCAAATGTTTCGGATCACAAGCAGCTAAAGACACGTAGAGCTACGTGCGGAACCAAACGCCTCACTGCGGCCATCATTCGCGATTGGGTAAACGCTCACTCTGACATCTTAGTTTGAGTAAGAGAGAAAACTTATTTACTGAAAGAAATAACATATCACAGTCCCTCGATAAAGTCCTCCAATCGTGGCTTTCATGAACGGAAATATAATTAGTATACAAGTGTTTACTTCGATTGTATTGGTTTGAAAATGCTATGACTCCAAGCGCTTATCAATTATTTTCTAGACGTATCATTGAATTTGTAGCTCGAACAACCGACGATCAGTAGCCGGGACTGCAAATCGCGACGTCTCGGCGAGATAAGTCCCGGTCATGACGTCATGAACGGAACGCGCAAGAGGACGCCACCGAAGCATCTCGGCGCTTGCATTTCTGGGGAGGAAACGTGTGCGCGAACAGCTTGAACCAACGCTGAAGGTGTGCCCCCGTAACAAGTAAAAACTAACAAACCACTGTTTTGTCCCATGTGCCCTCCGTTTGTGTGTCAGGTAGACCACCAAAAGTTTACATGTTTTCCTTGCTTTTCTTGGGTTGTGAACTGTAATTGAAGTCAGTTGGTTAGCTTCTTTGATGGCGACTGTAATATTTTTTAGTTAGTTCACATATTCAAACAAAATCATGCGAGAACGCCTGAAGCGTGACTACAATCTGAAAGCTACTTTGACTATTTCTTTGATCCAGATCACGAGTGTCAAATTCTTTCGCGACAAAGCCAGAAAACGGGTAAAAATACCCCTATATAGTTTTAAGTAACACCGGCAACTAAAATGATCGTTTACGCAGTCAGTTTGTTCCAAAACATGTTGTTCGTGTGTGGACAGTGCGACGCTCAAGTGTAAGAAAAATACCAAAACACTTTAATTTGACATGTACGGTACGAAAGATTCATTTTCAAACAGGCAGAAATATATGTCGGTTTTTACATCTGAAGTATAATCGGAAAAGTAACGGCAACTTTTTTTCAGTAACGGCCAGTTACTTGTCTTCACGAGTAATCAAGTAATCTAATCGTATATTTTTTTTTATCCAAGAGTAATTGTAATTGTTATCGAGTATTCTTTTTTGACAGGCGTGTACAAGACTGATTCATATATGTTCATTCGGATGAAAGCGCCACAGAATTAACGTCATGCTTCACTCTTTGTTCGTGCATCGTATTTTCGCGTTCTTATCGGTGAATGCCGTAGTCTGATTGGATGCAAAGTAATAATAAGGTGCTCGGTAATCACCACCCCCGGTAACTCTTAACTTGTATAGTGTAGTTTGTTGTTGTTGTTGTTGTGAGTTTGTATTTTATATTCTCTAATTCGCTGACTGAGTATCTGTCACGGCCTCACTTTCGAACATTCTATCATACTATGCCTTGCGCCATCACTTTTTTTTTTTTCCTCTATGAGGCACGCGGAATAAAGCCGTCTAGCCGAAAGCCCCGCCGTGTGTTTTTTGTTGTTGTTTTTTTAGTTGAGGCGGCCAAGAGCGTTGACGCAAAGATGAGGTAGCGGCTCGTTACGGTCTCACCCGATTTCAGCGTCAGTTGCGAAAGTATCCGCGACGGCTGCTCGCGACACCCGTTCGCGAGGATAAGCGCCCGCGTGTGTATACGTAGCGCCTGACCACGCGTGACTTGCCGCGGATGAGGCCACCATCCACGCTCGCGCCACCGGCTTTGTGGCTCGCGCGACCGGGTGACGCTAAAAGAAAGACGACTGTCTAAGCTCAAGTTGTTGCGGCGCTTCCTCATCTCTACAAATATATTTACCTTTTATTCTATTTATTTATTTATTTATTTATTTATTTGATACCCACAGCGCCTTTCGGCATTACAGTGGGGGGGGGGGGGGGGGGTTATACACAAAAAATCAAGTATGAAGTTACAGTCAACAGTATATATATATATATACTGTTGAATATGAAGCGAATGGGTTGTGTGTATGTATAGACAGCGTGGATCCTTGTCACTCGGCACTTTGTGTACTTGATATTGTCGTACCTCCATCTTCGCGCTGTTTTTTTTTTTTTTTTTTTTTTTTTTATGTATGGTTGCTTTGTTTTGCGCTGTGGATATGTAGCTAGTGCAGTACGACGATTTCTACTAGCCTGGCATCTTTAACGGGCCCCGTGCAGTAGCAATACATGGCGTCGCGCCTTTACGATTCTCCTCCAGATTAAAACGGGCAGGGTTTGGGGATTGAGCCCAGGACACCTGGGTTCAGCAGCGCACTGTGCAATGACGTGAATTCGAACTTAACAATTAATATACTTTTAAAAAAAAGTAATTAAGCTAAAGCTACTTGACCTGTAATATACATATGTATTCATTTAACGAAGCAGCTGTCCGCAGGTATCCTGCAACTGTTGAGCAACATTTCTTTTTTAATTTATTTGTTTCGGTGGACAAAATTTTAGCACAGTTTCGTTATAATACGTCACTCCACTCGAGGTAAAACTTGATGGACTGGCTATGCACGTAGTACTTATGTTGAGACTCAATCAATGCGTATACGCCAACATAATCTTGAAAAAAAAATTGGAATCGATCGAAGTTACAAGCTGCTAAAATCCGTGCACAGATGCCTATCGCCTTGCCACCGCTCGAACCTAAATCTTTTATTTTTAACGCAATTTTCGTTAAGATTAGAGTTGGGTAATTTTATTCTTGTTTATTTATTTTTATTCTCTGCCCCTCTATATGACAATCTCTCCGTGTATTTCGGATCGTTTTTATGTCTTCATTTTTGAGTATTACGGAAGTGAAAGGCCATTCCCTGCTGATCTGTGCGATGTGCGGTGAACATGCCCTAGAGTTTGGTTTCGGAAAGAACTGTATAAAATATATCATTGATCTGGTGGCTTTCTATGTCTTAGTAATATGACAGCTAAAAGCTAGTCATGCTAGTTTACAGTGAAAGTTTTATAAATCCAAACAATACAACGTCTGTGCCTCTTCGATATTGAAGGTCTACTAGGCCTTCTGATTTGATTGGACATGTTGCTCGTGGTCTACCGCTCTTATCAAAACGTAAATAACTATTCAATACCACAAATTCCGTTTATAATTGATCACAAAATGCAGAAAAAAATTCTAGAAAACTTTTTCACAATTCATAGAAACGCACGGGTCGCTATATCTGATTAAGGTCTTGCAAAACGAAGACGTCTTTTTTCCGATATTGAGACTGAAATATAGAACATACAAACAAAAAACACACTTTCTTGACTTTCTTTTCGAGTGGACAAGTGTCATATCTACATTTTAGCAAACAATGAAAACTAAAAAAAAAAAAAAAAACTTTTTTTTTTCAAGAAAATTGATTTCAAAATTGGTGCTTTTTGGTTTTAGCATAACATTAACGTAAACGTACCGCAAATGATATTTTATACTGCTGAGTCATTTTATAATATATATAATGAGTGTGTTTCGGGCTCTCTATAGATATAAAAATATTGATGTAACCCAAGTAAATCTCTAGTATTTAATTGCTTTCTCTTCTTTCTCCTTTCTTGTTTTGGTGTTTTTCGGTCGAATAGACTCAGCTGTTTAAGATTCTGTGTGGTGTTGTCCGTTATTTTATTCTTACTGTTATCAATTTTTAGACTATGATGTCTTTCTACACTATACAATAGAGCGGCACGGATGTACAGCCTTTGTCGGTTTTAAGAAATATCAGTTTAGAGCCAATGTCGTGTGGCAAAGGCCCCATAACGAGGACGAGCTAGCTTAATTTGAGTGAAAGTTTATTGTCCTTTTTCTCCTTTTTTTTTTTTTTTTTTTTGGGGGGGGGGTGTATGTTATTTAATGTTTTGCCATTACAAATTAGTTGGAGTCACTGCAAACAAGTAAGAATTGCTTTAAAAAAATTAGTTTTGTTTTTTATTGAGGTGCAAATTTGTCATATTTAAAAAAATTCAACTGCATTTGTGCATTAATACCAAACCTACAATGAAGCCAAGCATATTTTTATATATTCGTAAAATGCATTTAAAGATGCGCATTAGTTATATATTTTCCGACGTTTTATATGAAGTTATTTGTTGGTAAATCATTTGTGACTGTGTCTCTAAACTGATTTTTTCTAGGCGTATTTTGTTTCATAGAAATTTTTATTGTAATTTTTAATAGTCTGTGTACATGTTGCAGACCATTCATTAAATAAATATAACACATTATTTCTACGTGCATGCTTTAATGTGAAATTGACGGCTGTGCAAAGTACCGTAGTAAAACATCACGAATCTCCACGACTCGAGCTTCAAAATTTCATACCTACGGAAGACGATTAGCTACAACGTTCGCAAATAGCTGAATGCTCCTCCCAAGAACATGGCTTTCACGTGTAGTCTTTACAGCAATATAAAAATATGGCCCCGACCATTATTGTACGATCTGACGTGGATACACCCTTTAAGCCGGGGTCCCACTGCTTATACGTCATACAAAAGACAGTCTGCATACAGATTCGAACACGGGTCAGCGGTAGATCCGTGCTTCGAATGCAGCATCGCAATGAGTTCAAAGAGGAATCTTTGCACTCTCGGCATTCGAACCACGGATAGTGCGGCGACTCGTGTTTGCAGACTGTCTTTTGTATGATACTGCAACCAATGCCGCATACGAAGTATGCACAGTAGGCGATTGTTGGAATGATCAAGTCTTTTCTCCGTAAACGTAATTGTGAACGAATAAACATTGTTCTGTTGTTTATGCGACACGATCAGAACTCGATTGATTGATTGATTGCCACCGAAAGAAGAAAGGCAGAGAAGTTAGCTTTACACTTGTTCTAGCCGGCTTCCTGCGGTTAGATGAAAGAGAACAAACGAAAGGTGCAATAAACAATATAATGATTGTGATGATGAATATCATGATGATGGAAGCGATGGAGGTGATGTTAAGACTCACTTCCCGTAGTAAACACTCGCACACAAAAAAAAAATACTGAAATAAGGGATGAAAGTTCGGTACCAGCAGAAAGCAGTACTAGAGCCTGTCCAATCAAAAATGACTACACAGCAGGTCCGCTTTGTAATGACAGTAAAGCTCACAGTGATGACATCTGTGCAGAGAAACACTGTAGGAGAAAAGAAATTATAGCTTACAGCGCAACGGTTAGAAAGCAGAGCTCTGACTGGAAGGCTTCGATTGAAGAGAGACAATGGGCACACAAGACAGCTAGCCTTTGCGCCTAAGCACTTTTATTTTAATTGGAGATCTGAACTCTGACGTCGTCCCACCCTCTCACCTCCTTCTCCTTTCCTTTTTGTTTCTCTTCTAATAGGTGTTTCTCGTTGTCTCAGTTCTGGCGCTCCTAGCTGCTTTCTCTCCCCACAGGAACAAGTGAATGAGCTCCAGAGCGGCGCCGTGGCGTACATCAACTGTCACCAGTGCACAGACGGAGGTGATTTTGAGTGATTTCTATTAAACTCTATTTGAAATGCGCAAAAGACGTATACTGCCCGTAACGGCAAACAACCGCTTTTGTTGCGGTAGAACGGAAGCACGAACCAGCCCACCGGGGATGATTCGTTTTATAATTTGCCGTCGTTTTGCTCGGCCCCATATGTAAGAAGACTAGAGTGATATCGTTGTTGTGGCTTTAACGACGCAACTTTAATATACGCAAAGGGCGCATGCAAAGTTCTTACTCCACCATAAGTCAATATACAAGTCCCGTCAATTGAAGAATGCCGCCTGCTGTCTCGGAACACCCCGAGGGGGGCGCCACCGTTATGCGTGCCAGCGCGAGCAACAAAGCTAAAATAGAGCGAAAAAGTGTAAAAAGCTGGAAACAGAGAGAGGGGGAATGCCCCTACCGTCAAAGAGCGGAGTAGGCTAGGAACTGAGGGTGTCAATCAAACAACGCCGAAAGTGCAACGTCGGGGCTTTCGTCATCTTTTCTTGAGCGTGTGCATGCCTTGCGGCTGAACCAATCATATGCAAAGTGCACTGTTGTCTGCTTTTGGTCTGTGTGTACACCCGCCGGCAATATGAAGGTAAACACCTAACCTGGTTTCTTGCCTGTTTTACGGCTCCCTAAAGCTATATTAACTCACAACGTCTCAAATGGTACGTGGCTTGGGGTCTAAACTTTGCGCTCTAGCCCTCTTCTGGAACAGAGCTTGTTCCAAAACTTGCAGGAGCGTCAAAAACAAGAAGAGGGCTCTTCACCTTCATATCGCTCGCGGATGTACATTTTGTCTGTGTTCTCATCTACATAAAAAAACATAGAAATGCATTTGCTACCTTGGGACAATTCAGACGGTGCTCGTGCGAGAAAGCAAAAAAAAAAAAATCAGAAATAATATGCGCGCCAGGGAACGGGGCTGAAGGCCGTTGCTTTTCTGAACTATATAAAAAAACGGGACCCTGAATAGAGGTGCATTCTGAGAAAGGTCTGCATTCTTATATTGTCCCGCAATGTACTAGGAGCATCAAGGATTGATCTCGCCGTCCTATGCGCTACTGACTGCCTTATCATTGTACATTCACCCCTGCCTCGATTGACAAGTGACCGCGCTCAAAGTGGGTCAAACAACAGCCACCCGTTAATAAGCTCCAGTGACGAGGGCAAGTGGTATCACACTCTGTATGACGACAAAAAAAAAAAAGTTCATGAAATTGATAAAACAATTTTTTTTACGGTGTTAACTGGGCGTGCCAACATTTAAGAAGATAAAAATGTTTCACGCGTGTCATGCTACATTTTTAAACTCTCATACGTCTGTTTCACAGGCAATTAGAGCACCTCGAAATGGCAGGCTTTTATGATTAAAATGCAATTACTGCAAATGTGCAAGTGAGCTGGACAAGAATGGCGATAATAATCCTTGGAGAAGGGAAACAAAGAGGACAAAGGACAAACACAAATCTCCAAACACAGCTATAGGTGACTGGTGCGCGACCGAAAAAATCCGCCCGGTCCGGGTATCGAACCCGGGACCTCTCCATTTCCAGTGGAGCGCTCCACCAACTGAGCTAGCCAGGGGTTAGACGTCAGTATAGTAAAAACAAGTTTTATCAGCTGCCACCAGTCCAACACCAACAAGGGTGAACGGCCTGCAATTTTAAGGTTACGATTAAGATGCAATTACTGCAAAGGTGCAAGCGAGCTGGACAAGAATGGCAATAATAATCCCTGGAGGAGGAGAGGTTTCGGGTTCGATGCCCGGACCCGGCCGATTCTTCTCGGTCGCGCACCAGTCACCTATAGCTGTGTTTGGAGGTTTGTGTTTGTCCTATGTCTCCTTTGTTCCCCTTCTCCAGGGATTATTATTGCCAGGATATTAAAGTTCGCGCTGCCGAACCCACGGATCTTAGAATAAGCTCTTGCCCATTTCGATCTAAACGAGGGTCGTGCCGGCGTCCAGTCGCTTGTCACATGCTGCGCGAAGCTCGTTAAACACCCCAGACCAGCAGGGGTACTGCACTGGCTAAGGTTCATATTTATAGCGGAGTCAACAGTCGACCACTGGGGCTGACTAACCTACCGAAGCCTAATTAAACACATAACACGAACACTTAGGAATCGACGAATTACCTGACGATCTCGACTAATCGTATGCCCCTCTACGTGAGCTGATTGGATGATTTGAGACGGTACGGAGCACGGTGCAGTGTTTGTAAACTCTTTTTTGTTTTCAAGTTTCCGTGTTTTCTTTTCTTTTTTTTACTATGATTTTAATGAGCTTTAAAGGCATTCGTCACAAAGGGATTTGAATTGCCCGTAAAACGGGAGCATGAATCACTAAAGACGAACGCTTTCTGTCTTTCTTTTTTTAAATTACATGCAGTTTATACAGTACAAAGTATATTTTGGCAACACGTGAAGATAGCATACTCGCGGACAACTTGCTGCGGCATTTCGGAAGAAGTGGAAACTGCGTGTGCCCAGTTTTGGTGACCGCTCAAGATAGGCAAGCTCACGTGTGCCATAGCTTTGATTGCGTAACCACAATATCTTGTCTGCAAATCCCTTGACTCCACAGACCTACTGCAAAACCTTTGACTGCATTTTTTTTTTCTTTTGAATTTTTTTCAGGAAGGGCCTTTCAGCCAAGTGCGTCGCCTTCCCTTTCCGGTTCTTTAAAACAAGTGGCGAGTTTGGTGAGAAATATATATCTATATTTTTTTAGGTAAGCTTACAAAAAGTGCTATCGGAAGCAGTAGCACTCTAAGAAATCTGGAGCGTCCCGTAAACTACTTGGGAGCATCGTAATCTAAACACTGAGATAATGATAAATAAAATGGCGGACAAAACGACACAAAACCTCCTTTGTGTCGTTTTGTTCGTTATTTTATTTCGCCTTGTCTCAAGTTTTAGATTACGATGTTTCCTAACCATCTCGCCTGCATACTTCCGCTCCTAATACTTGGGAGAACCGATCGCTGCACTCTATGGAGGGAGCTCGGCACGAAGCTGAAAACATGTCTAGATCAGGGGTATCTCGCGGAGGCGACCCGCGGAGGCGTACCGGCCGGCCCGTGACGACCGTGGTCTTTCCAGTGATGCCCGGATCGGGGCTTGTTTCTACCAACGCGCCCAATAAACAAGCGTAAAAAAAAAAAAAAAAGAGTCATTGCGACGCGCCCTAGATTAAGATTAGATTAAGAGAAAACAGCATCAAAACGCGGGTTATCGCGCCATATTATCTACTGTACATTGACATCGACAGCACTGCTACTCGTGGTTTCCGGCTTCGTGTCTGCGTAACTGCGTATATTGAATTCCTTTGCGTTTCCATGCATATCGTGCTTAGGGTCCTGTGTAACAATTCTTGCGTGTCATCATCAGATCTACGCATCTCACTAGTCTTCTGCCCTGCGTGAATATGCCAAAGGTTTCTATGGGCTTCGATGTATGTCTGCTGAGTTCACTAGGTCACAGTCGGTTTGTAATGTCATAATCTGCGACGCACCGTATTTGAATATAAAGTACGTGTATCGATCCAACTCACTTTTTTTAAGTATTTTGTTTTCGATTTTTATTTTTTTGTATTTTAACGGTTATTTAGGTTTGCTTATTTAGTGCTTTTTTTTTTATTTATTTGTTCTTATCTATTTTCCGTCCCTCGAGCCTCGACAGGTCCTCAGGCCCCTTAACCAAAACGCTTGGTGGTACCAAGCGTTTTGGTTCTAGATCTGTTCTAGATCTAAAGACTAGACTCTGTCGCACTGAGCGTGGTGAAACGCCACGCTCAGCACCGCAACGCAGACTGTTTTGGGGGATTCAAACATATTGTCGCGGATGGAAACAGATCGAAAAGCGTAATAACTGAAAATAAAGGTTTAGTCGGCGAACTTGGGCCAGAAACAAAAGATAAAATGAGCGTCGAAACAGCAGCATCGAACGTCGCCGCGTCGGCGTAACAGCTGGTTGGAGCAAGACTGCAAGCGAGCATGCGACTCGTCGTCGGGAGAGTCTGACTGAGTCGGCAAGGCCGCGCTCGGCTTTTTACCTACTGCACTAGGTATCTCGAATATTCGACCAGGAGTGTCCGCGAGTGAGCTAGGGTGAGACAGACACCGCAAGGTCATGTTGACCTCCTTTTCTTTTACGCTCGGTGTAAGAGTAAACTGGAATCTTCTAGGAGTACGTAAAAGCGTTCCTTCTCGGTCATGCGCGCGGCAATATTATCAACCTCGTCATTCACTGAGCTCCCCCTTCTGTAAAGTGAAGCGGTAGACTCTCACGATAAATTTGCGGAAGAGCAGACGCTTGAGTCTTTCTAGAGTGTAGCCTAAGCATAAATGTCCGTTTCGTATTGTTTTCATTTAAACATCAGTAAAAATTCACTGTGAATTGTTTTTGGAAAATTTTTTTAACAGATTAACTCATTTTTCTGACTTCACGCCACGGATGTAGAGCTGCTGTCGCTACTGCGCTTGCACAGACGCTTCGCTTGACTCGAGTCTGGTTTGTGCGCCTGTGCAATGCCCATACTGCAGGTGCGGGCGAACGAAGTTTTTTTTGTAAACAGAGTGCTGGTGCAGACATGTCCCTCCATGTCCCTAACGGCATGTAACAAGGAATTTTGTGACAGTTCCTAAAAAATGTCTTTCGAACGTCTTTTTCTTTTAAGTGTACTGCATTTTTGTTTGAATTTGTTTGTTTTAAATTTTATTTCGACAACTACATAGACATTTTCATCGCCTATTACCAGGGCGATAAATACTGAGTCGCTGAGCTGTGGACGCATGCGCAGTGTCTGATATACCGCACAGCAGAGCATTAGCGCATGCTCAGAACGCGTTCCACAGCCCAGCAGACAAAGATGGCAGCGCGCAGAAGGCGATTTTGGCAAAGGTCTATATCCCTTTTCACGATAAGTTGAACTGCAGCCGGCCCTGCGATCCGATTAGACAACTCAGCCGCGTAAAAGTGTATCGTCACGAAGCTCGTCGGCTTTGTACGTTCGCTATATCATCGAATAAACCGATCCCGCACTCCAGATGTGCCGTGATCCTGCGCTTTTTTGTGTGTGTGATTGGTTTAGTCGGCGATGGAAAACGCACAAAACGATGAGCGCCATGACGATGCACTTTTGGCTCTGTTTGATTGGCTCCTCAGGAGCGTAGTGTTGGCTGCGGTCGGACTTAATGTGAAACGGGGAGTGTCGCCCATACCCTTCTTCTTTTTTTATATGTAATACGACAGACTCCCTCATATTGCACTACGTTCGGAAACATCCTGACTGAATTCACGATTTTCTTTTTAACAGCTGACAATATTTTGTATCGCAATATTCGCAGATTCAAGTCAATGGTAAAACTCTGCTGGATGCATGGACCAACGGAACACTGGATGAACCGCCGCGGCAAGTTGTGACGGTTACCGTGATCCCTCGATCGTTGGGTTCCTGCTTGGGGCTGTGATTACGCGGAAACCACTCGTTCGTTGCAGCAAAACAAAACGAAGGCCACTTTTTGACGTGCAATTGGTACGCCTCTCTTTTCACGCGCAGTGTAACGGAGATTGCAGAGGCAAATTTTGGATGCAAAGAAAACGTTTCTAATGCATTAGAACACTCCTTTTCACAAAAAACAACCGCTGATGTCAGTCCGTGCGTACGTTTGTCAGCCCCATGTATGACGTCACGAAAATAGCGGGGTGGTGAAAAGGAGTTATCGTGTTTACAGATTTCAGATTCAATTTCTCACCACGGCGGCGGGAAAGAGGGGGATAGGGTGACGCGTGCTGAGGTCAGCACTTCTGACCAATACGAGCGTCGCACAGCCGGCGCGGAGCCAGAGACGAGCAGGCGCCGTGCCGCTTTGAAATGCGGCCCAGCTCAGTGGCCACTCCGGCGATGGATGTGGTTCTTTCCACGAGTGATAAAGGGGTGAAATACGATTGAAAACGGGTCATAAATGATTAGAAATGGGTTATAAACGAATGGAAATGAGTAATAAACGACATGAAAGCGGTGGTAAACGACTGGCAAGGGATCCTGGATGAATGGAAAGAGGTGAGAAAGAATCAATGCTAACGCATTTCCATCGGGTGAATGCCCTTTTTTCTTACATAGTCGGCCACCGGTACCTAGTCTGCGCATGTTGCCTAGTCCGCATCATGAAAATATACACAGCACACCTTGACAAATGCCTACTTTGTTATCTCACAAAGAAGCTTGTGCCATACTTATATCATCATGCACATACTATGTCGCCCACAAAATACGTCGTCTCGTTATAATGAACGATCTAGGAAAAAGGGATCCTTGTAAGCGAGCTCCCGCTAGCAAAGCAAATCTCTAGCGTACGGTCTACTCAAAGTTAATATTTATAGCCCATACTGCGTAAGATTTTAACTTTTCGACATATATGATAATATTTGAAATCAAAATAACAACATGCTTCGAAGTTCGAGGTGATAGTGCTTAGTGAGCACGGCGCTCACGGGCTCGGAATTTTAACACAGATGGCATTTTTGATTCCAGCCTGACCTGCGTTTTGTCGTTTGATGATACCTTTTCATGGTTCGCTCTTCGTATGGTGTGAACAAGAGCCTAATATTAATAGAAGATTTTTGTTTCTGTCAATAACTTTCTGTTCCGCGGGAGATCAAACTGATGTTCTGTGACAGCACCCTTTTTTCTCTCTCTCTCTTTCTTTCTTTTTCTATTCCTATCTTTCTTTTTCTCTCTCTTTCTTCTTCTCTTGAATACGTTAAGTATAGACCGACACTCTGTTTACAAACAAGCCCGCGTTTGCCCACACCAGGTGTGGGCACTGCGCGTGCGCACAAACCGAATTCGGGAGGAGTGAAGCATCTGCGCATGCGCAGTGCCGTCGACAGCGCCACCGCAGCGGCGTGACGTCAGGGCCGCGTGTTGGTCTATACACTCTAAACAAATGCAAGAACGTCGACGCCCCCGCTTGAGCACTTTGCTTCTTAACAAGTCCGAGAGAGCCAAAGACTTTAACACATACATGCAAACACACACACAAATATAAACTTAAAGTGCGAGGTCATACTGTATTCTCTGCGCTTGGTTGATTTTTCATATGCTAGCATACGCAAGTAAAGATTGCGAACGCCGTGAACGGCGTTCGCAAGATTTGTACTACGGCGAACGCCGTGGTAGACTTTATTTCTTTATTTTAATTCCAATTACTTTATTCACGAAGTGACTAGAATCATTCTTGTCACTTCAGATCGCAGTGATTGGCCCTTGGAGTGTTCCTCGGGGGAGTGTGCCATACTCTGTTCAGCCTAGATTGGCGTCTTAATAAGCTAACTATTTGTTTTACGCGTCCTTTTGTGAACACAGGCCCAGGCTTCTTAGCGGAGGGAAGGACTACGCTCCTTTCGCATTCCTTGCCGGGATTCCTGCCATTGACATCGCCTTCAGCGTGAGTGTTGCTGCTTGCATTCAATATTATAAATATTCATCTTGCACGTACAAATTAGCTGTTTTCACTGCATGCAAGTCTGCGAAGTAAATAAGAAGTGTATAGGGTGCCATCATTTAATGTGGTTAACTTAGAAAGTATACAAGCAAAAATGCATCACTGAAGTATTAAAACAAATTATTCACAATATTTATCAGGCCAAATTCAGGTTTAAAATAAAATTGTGTGTTAACTAGTTTTAATCGGTTGCAGGCCGTTGTAATGCTATATCCCGTGAAGCCTTTGAAACTGCGTCGACAAATTGAGTCACTAAAGTAAGATGAAAACATCTTTTACTCTCTTGACTAAAGTGAGAACAAACTGACCAGTCAACATTTTAATTTTAGCTGAACCTATCAGCCCACCTGGTACTCCGAAGGCTTATTTAGCCTTCCAGCTTAAGTAAGATGATTTAAGGGAGCGCTTACTTCCAGCTAAATTAAACATTTTGTCTAATGATAGTGTTCAGCTGCATCAAACGCATGAGCTGAACTGTGAATTACGTCAAATTGGGACGTTCATTCGGACTTAAATATTTAGCCAAATTGATGCATCGGCCAAACATCATCTGAATTGAGATGGAGACATCACACGACCGCGAATCGTCGCACCCTCGCGTTCACCTGTCAGTAACTCTACAGTGACCAACTAATCTTGATAGAGTGACAAACAGAGCATTCCTCTTCGCCGACAAAAGAAAATTATCTCTTGGGCGAGCCCAGTCCGTTAGATTGTTGTCAGTTGCTGACACCCCAAAAATAAGTACCTTTTAAGCAAGCGGAACCATAATATGAATGATTCATCGGTTTTTCGCAAAGACTGCGAATAAAGTTCAAAATAATGTTTTGATCTGCGTCACTTGTCAACGTCACTTGCCAAAAGTAATTGATTACAATCACAGTTACTCTTGGCTTAAAGAAATCAATTAGATTACTTAATCTCTTGAGAAGAAAGGTAATTGACCGTTACTTGAAAGAGTAACCGTTACTTTTGAACTTCAAAGGTTAAAAGCGAAATATTTTCCTGTCGGTTTGAAAACGGGTCTTTTGCACTGTCTCTTATCGGATTATAATCACCGAACAATAAATTACATAAATCAACCAATCAATCAGTCAATTTCTTTCTCTCCGATTTTGGTAAACAATATTCCTGTCGGAAACTTGGTTCGAGAATTCTTTGGTAGGAAACTTGTGCTAGCAAAGAGCGCCATCAGGAAGGGAAGAAAAAAATAGTGACGGTTACAGGTTATTTTAGCACCTCCCAAAGTAATCAGGTTACTCTTGCAATTATTTCCTAATACGTGTAATAAAAATTGCAAAATTAAGAAAAGATTTGATTACAAGCAATTTGATCAGTTGTAACGAGTGCCGTACTTTAGTCAACATAGTCTGCCTTGAAATGACGACTGGTGTCTCCGCTTTTGATGGGAGATTTACCTAGTGCAGTACAACGAACTTTTTGTATTTGACGTGCATCGGTGATTACACTGATTACACGGGTGTAGGCCGATCTGATACTGATTCAGATCAAAACATGTGGGGGTGTGGATTCAACTGGAGGCACTGACTAAACTATGCTTAGAGTGTCGGCACTCAGTGTCCCAACTTTTTTTATGGGCGCCGCCATTACGGTGCTTAGTGCAGAGCTCGAGCACCATCTAGATCCACACTAGCAATGAACGACACCTAGGTTCTACAGTATGCGTTTGCGCCAGCTGGTCGTCTGCTTGTAAGGCAAGGCGATGCCATCTTGGATTGTGTTTCTTCGCACCATTCCCCCAAATATATATGATAACATTATTCAGTTGCTCTCCCAGACTTCCGTCGACGACGCACGAGGTCGCCTGCTTATAAGGCAAGGCGACGCCATGTTGGATGGAGTTTCTTTGCTCAGCTTTCTCAAAGTATATATCCGGATGCTTTCCCAGACTCCCGGCGACGACGCGCAAGGTCCGGCCGGTAACCACCCGGCATACGGCACTACGTACGACCGGCTTGACTTCGTGGAGCAGTTTCTGGACCCGGGTCTCAAGAGCCAGAAGCTGTGCGCCCAGCTGACGGGCTCCCTGGCTCAGCTGTGGGCCGACGCCGCCCTGCTGCCCTATGACCTGCCCCAGCTGGCCAGGGACATGAGGATGGCACTCGCGCAGCTCGACAGAAGACATCAAGCACAGCTCAGGACGCTGCGACTCTCCTTAGGTTCGTCGCACAATTCAACACCAATTTAGTCGCACCAGACTCTTTCTACAGTGCCTCAATGTTGTTTGACTGGCTCAATACCACCTAAAAGTCAAGAACAGCTCGGGACACAGAGACTCACCTTAGGTCGGTACTAATCAACGCTAATCATGAGTTCAAAGCTAATTGTGTTGCTGGGCTGGCTCAATACCAGTTAGACATGGGCGCACCAACCAGGGGGGCAAGGAGCGCCTTGCCCCCCCCCCCCCCCCCAGTTCTCAGAGTGTGTGTGTGTGTGTGTGGGGGGGGGGGGGGGGGGCAAGGCATGTGTTTTGCCCCTCCTGAAACAGCCGTCACTGGGCAGGGCAAACACCGGCCGGCGGCGCCCGAGGGATGCCAAGGGCACCGCCCCCCGGCCCTGGGGGGAGGGGGGGGGGGGGGGAACGGGGAGAAGGTGGAGGTCTGGTTTGCCCCCCACTCAAAATCTAGTTGGTACGCCACTGCAATTAGAAGACACGGCCTGTGCATGACGCCATCGTTTGTGGATCCTCGATCTACCCCAAGCGGCAAACGCTGAAGCCCTCGTCTGCTAGCGGAGCCACCATCTTGCCTCCCATTTTATGCAGTCGTTTATGAGCTGTTTACGAAGTCGTTTAGGTTCACCACCCGTAGAATGACGCGGAATAGCTTTAAGAACACACAGCGCACGCGTTCTGTCAAGTGTACGTTTGCTTTCGGCGCTTGGTCAGGAGGCCAAAGGTAAAATGGTGACCGCGGTCAGGAAAAGGCGGCACAGTGCCTTTCCAAAGGTTGTCGTCACTCTGGTAAGGCGCGGACAGCAAGGAACATTGATGCAACCCTTTTCAAAAGTACGCGCCAGTTATAGCTGCTACGGCACCGATTATCCTAGTCGCCCATTGTTTTATCAAGTACTCCGAGCATATGTTGGACTCCAGGACTGCGTCAGCGTTCGGCGTGAACTCGGCTTAGCTTCTATTGGACACGAGTGCTGACGTCAGCTTTTGGCGAGAACTCGGATCCAATCACACGCTTTGCGCATAAGAACTGGGACCGCCAATGTGGCTTGATGGAGTTTTGAAAAAGGTCTATTACAGTTTCGCGATGGACGTCACACCCTAGACTGAGGGACTACATAGTCCGTTGAAGGTTAAGAAAAGTAGGACAGGCTGCTCCCGTAAAGCCCTCCACTCTTTACACTTAAGCAGAGCGAACGTTGGAGAGGAGACGAGGGGAAAGGAGGAAACTCCCAATCACGGCAAGAGAACTATTTCGGAGGGCCTCGTCCGGCCATACTAAACCAACAACAGACTACGCCCTAGCTGAAAGGAAAGAAAAAAAAAAGTAAGTCTTCATGTGAGACTTTTGTGTCTTCCATTCATCCATCGTGGACCTCTTGTTTTCATTATTTCCTCGGCTATGCCTTCACCTCTGGACATACGTTTACCCGTTTCTGCAACTTACAAAAAAGTAGGGAAGTTACATTCGAGTTTCTTTAGCATATATCGCGTAGTTTGGAAGTTATACGGCCGTGCGAGGGGTTACCACTGAACGCCATAGACGAATCTGTCGCTACCAAGCGCGTCCTGACCGTGAGCTTTGACCGACGCTAAGCGTATTCTAAGAAATCTGAAGTGACTATACTCACCTGCGAAGCACTTGCGGAGCCAGTCACTGCAAACTACGGAGAAAGCTCGGCGAGTGAGGAGGCTGAAAATACGTCTAGACCAAGAAGAAAAAAAAAATACGACAAATTGCTTGGCAATAGACAGATCTCACCAAGCGTTCCACGCATGCGTGACGCCGCCATAACTGTACACTGTTAGCAAGTCCCGTGTATTTGGCGAATATTTGGGGTGAAAAACACGCCATTTACACAAATTACCATAAATTTACACGATGAGTAACGGATAATTCGTTCAGAAATCATGCGAGCTTGTAAAAAACGTGTTTTGGTTCGGTCTTACACGCATAACCGTGTAGCCGACCTCGAAAACACGCATCGCCCCCGTCGACGACCGCGGCATTGCCGGCTATCGAAGCACCGGAATGCTTGGGGACACACTTAGAAAGGACCGTCGAGACAAATGCCGCGGAAAGAAACATGTCTCGGAGACAGATATGCACCAAAAGCAATTGCGCCATGTCGCAGGACGTTGGCGAAACCCACGCTTACCGGGCTCGCCGCCATCTTCTGGTCGATGGCAATGCGGCTTGCTTCATGTCGCCCATGTTTGTATTTAGTTTAGGGGTCCTGATAACAGTTTCTTAGACACCACAAATAAAGTTATGGGTCTAATTATTCGTTCCAAACAGTTAAAATGAATATAAAAAGCGTGTCCTCGATGTGAGCACGTGACATTGCAGTTGGTTTCGTTTTTGCTTCAACCTTCAACTGCAAGCGATCTGGCGATTTGGCCACGGCGCAAGCGCAACGCCGACGTACGCTGGAAGCAAGCGCCGGTTGGCTTTCGTTGTTTTTGTTCGACCGAAGAAAATCTGGCAAGTACGCATGGCGTCGCTACTGTTTTGGTTTGACGGGACGCGAGAAGCTTCGCATAGAGCTTCGGAGTTTGCGAGCACATAGTTAAGACGTGACCGGAGAAGTGCCCCTGTGATGTTCCTGGAAGACGGAAAGTAGCATTTGTAATCGTCGTGTGTGCTTTGAAAGCGAAGAGAGTCACAGGGTCCACGAGTTCGCAACCACAAGCCAAGGTTCACGACAGCGCGGCGTTGACTTCGGCGATCTCGTTCTGTTTGGTGCAACCCGGCGATGCGAAAAAGAGCTGAAACATTCGTCGTGTGTGGTGCGGTGCTTTGTATTCCGGGTCTGTTTGAACCACGCTTTTAACACGGAGCGCAAATTGTTTGTTGCGTGGTGGAGGTTCAACGGGTACAGTCCCGTCGTCGTCAGCTGATCCGGTCCAGCTGGTCCGGGAGGGCGCAGCGAGCGTTTTTAAAAGTAAATCTTCCCTCGTTCCGTTTCGAACTGTGGAAGTATCCCGACACATACCGTGAGTAAGAAGCAGCGGGCGTTTTCAACAAAATTACGTTGTTTTAATTGAATAATGGACTCCGGATTGTTGTCTTAAATCTGCCGTTTTTTATGCTTCGTGTTGGACTGCGTTTGCATAGCGACGCACACCGCTCGAGTATGATTCGGTCCTGCAACGAGTTTGTTGCGGCAATCATGCGGCGTGAATAAATAAGGGCAAGGTTTCCTACCTGCCCACAGATGCATGTACTGAGACCATTTTTTATGTTGTGAACGTAGTGCTCTTTCTTTATTTTGGAAGACGCGTTGGTGCATTTATTATGGTACAATCACTTGAGAGTTGAGAAATTAGAGAGCGAGCAAGCTTTCTCAACTTTGTCTCTTTCTCTCTGGCACTGCCCTGTTTCAGTTTCAGTAGGCATATCTACAAGCAGGTACAAACTGCTCTAAAGCAGGTAAAAAACGGGAAGCTTAGTACGGTGCGGACTCCGTGTTTCGCGCTTTTCGCAAGGTGACAGGGTAAATGCTTTTGTGAGATATGCGGAATATGCAAGCGATTTTGTTACGCTCGTCGTTTGCGTCTCTCCAGCAAAACGAATAAGATGATCTACTACAAAGGCGCAATCACAAGCCAAGATTTAAGATAGCAGTCGTTTGCTTCGGTGATCCGTGTAGCTGTATTTTACCCTGCTCTCTGCAACACCGTGTCATGACGAAGAGCTGGAATGGTCACGGTTTGTGCTGGCCTCCCGGTTGACAGAAACCCACGTCGCCCGCATCGGCACCGAGTGCGCTTGGGCTGTTGATGCTCCAGCCTTTCATCCGCGGCTTGTCGCCAGCTCATCCTGCTGCTCAACGGTGAGGAAGCGGCGAGAGTAACCTCGGAAGTGAATGTGAATCCTCGTTCATTCAGTTATCCGGTGTCAAAGTGGGGAAGATGTCCAACGTGTACTGAGGGCGGGAACTACGAGCGTTTTGCCTTGCTTTTATAACCGAAACCAGAACAACGAGATATCTGCCTTGCGTACTCTAAAATGACGGAAGCAATAAGTTTCAACAGGTCGAGTACGTCACCGGGGATGTAGGCGAGACGGTGCACACTGTTTAAACGCTTGCAGTATCCACGAGTGGTACCAGGAAAGCGACGTCAACAGAGAAGGAGCTCGCGATTCAGCATAATACACTGCTATGGGCCCGTGTATCTTCAAAGTTCGGGGTGGTGGCAGTATAAAAAAAAAGACGCATCAGCGCCCCACACCAGTGTTCACGAATAACACCGGTCACAAACTCCCAAGCCCCACCGCTCTTCTCGACACCGACACGACATACGACAACAAACTGCATCAAAACGCCCCAAAAGTGAAGGCGTCTGCTCCCGTACTGCAACTGCGGCAACTAGCGGAAGTGAAGTGTTGGGCGGATGTCCGGATGTCCTTCACAAAAATATATAAAAAATGCTTTGCGCAAGGATCATTTTCATTTATTATTGTATACGTAATGACAAAATCCCAATAATTTGTTTTTCTATCTGATTCATGCTAGTCGGACTGCTCATAACACTGGTCAAGCAAGAAAGTAACAAAAATTTGAACTTTTTCATGACCGGTTTAAGATTTATTGTTAACATATCATTATTTATTGCAACGGACTAACATTATAGATTTTGCCTCCATACTTTTTAAATGCAAACAGTTCTAACACACGGCTGTCCATTGCGCCGTGTTTTGTGTATTCTTCTATAAATCTGTAATGGTCAGTGACCAAGGAGCTCACCCCCACATGTCAAGCTTATATTCGCCGCGGGGAGAAATGGATATCGAGTAGGAAGTGTCGGGCGTTGTGTCGGTTGTTGTGTTTGTGTATATGTCGGTGCCGTGTAGCTGTGTGCTGTGTTGCCTGCGTTGTATGTAGGGTTGCTGTGTGGCCGTGGTCGTTCCCAGTGTTAACAGACTCGTCTTTTTTTTTAAAACAGGCTGCTAGAAATCTCGATAGGTGGCGCAAGTTACCG